TTGGCAGCACCCTGTCCGGTTTTCACCAGGACTCAGTTTGCTAACTTGATTCTCTCGTTTACCCCACCGCTGGCACAGATCACGGCCAACTAGGGATTAAGAGGCCACATTTCTGGCTTGCCTGAAGGTAAAATAGGGTACTCAGAACCCTGGCTCACTGAGCTCCGAGAAGGACTCTCCTCAGAATCCCTCACAAGCCCAGGGATGTCAGAGCCCACGCGAAGAACAATCTCCAAGTCTCCACCAGGACCGGGGCGGGAGGGGCAAAGGCCGACCCAGATGGCGCCTTCTCTCCTCTGGCTCTTTGTCTGGCCCCTGCCCTGCCGTGGCCGCGGGGCCCCACACGCCTCTGTGAAACCCCATTTCCTCCCCATTTAATGACACAGTCTCTCCCTCAGACTCTGACTTCCGCCCCACATCCTGAACGTTTCTAGGCCAGAACCCTTAGCCGGCGGGAATCACAGATTCCAGCCGGCCTGTAGCGAGCAGGGAGGAACGCTAATTGATATTAACAGAGACCAGGCCAGCAGCTCACAAAAGAGCCTCTCTTCCTGACCAGAGCCATGCCTGGGGCACGGCCAGCTTCTGGTGTCTGCTCCCGGGAGGAGGGGGCCCCTTGGGGTGGAGAGGAACAAAGCGGGAGCATGCTGCTGGGACCCTCCTCCTGGAGCTCACGGACACTCAGCGAGGGGCCAGTCCCGCTCACTGACCCTTGATACTCCTGCTTCGGTGGCAGAGCATACCCGGGACCTTGTCTCATCCAAGCCCGCCCTGAGGCTCGTTTAAATGTAATCTCATCTGGCACAAAAAGCTCTGAAGTCAGAATGCGCACACGCATATTCTAGACCACACTCAGCGAGTGTGACCTTGGATCCAAAAAAAAAAGCGGCGCCTCTCTTTTCTCGTCTGTGTAAAGGGAGTAATAGTACCTATCTCACTGGGTTGTCCTGAAGATTAAAGGCTATTCTGAAAAAGCTCCTAGCATTGTCCCTAGCATGTAATGTGCACTCCCTCGATAAATGGAAATTGCAGTTATAGGATATGATTATTATTTCCTAAATTCGGCTCCCTTTATTATAAGAAGTTCCCATTTCAGAATGTCAACACTTAACATAGAGAATGGAATAGAGAGGCATCCCAGAGAAGTTTGTTGAGTAGATGGGAGGAAGGCAAAGAGAGGGAAGGAGAAAGTAAAGTGGATGTGTTTGTCACAGGTTAAATCAGTTTTATGGGTAGACAAGAAAGAACCCTATACAATAATCTACCTAATAGACGGTTGCTCTAAAATTTCGCCAGTATTGATTCATTGCTTTGAGTGAAGCACCTCTGTCTTCCCATTGGTCCCCTTTAAGATGCAGCCAATCACACTTTAGTTTGAATGAGTTGCAAGACTGATTTGAGGAGATGATTGGAGAACATTAGATCCTCAGTGGGAGGAAGGGAATTTTGACATGAAAAGTGCTGAAGGGATTATACAATTGTGCAGGAGGCTGGCTGTAAGAAAATTGAGTGCAGGACACTGCAATTTCCCTTAGTAACAGTTCAGATGTGACTAAACCTTATATTCAAGAGTGTCTTCCTTGTCTTTGTCCCAGATCCTTCATGCTATGGATTATAGAACAAAATGGTCATCTATTTCCCCACATTATGGGCCCAGCACAGAATGTATAACTGTATTTGTTTCTGAAGATTTTCTTTTCCTCATGGTAGGAACTATCCATATGCAATCTCAATCCTAAAGTGATTTTCATTTGCTGGGGAAATTTGAAGACTATCTCTTGCCAGTCTGAGGTTAAACACAGAGGGAAATCTAAACGCAATTTTCCTGTTTGAGAAGCAGTTACAATATTTTTAAGCAATTGAAGCTTCAAAATTTCAAATTCAACATACAGTTAGGCCACCACCACAGAAACTACAGATTTTGCAAGGTTTACAAAACAGTGAAATAGCTCCGTGGCTTTTCCCTGAGTGCTGAGTCTTTGAGTATTTCATAAATGAAGATGTTCTGGAAAACTTGGAGCAGTTTTATTGGTGTTTAGCTTTTGGCTGGGGCCCTTTAAAGTAAATGTTACATGGGGAAAAAGAAAGAGGAAAGATGTTATAACAAGGTGTCAGAGTAATAATACATTTTTAATAGCATTACTTATCAACATTTAGTTAACGAACACCCTGATCCATCCCTACTGGGCGTCTCCAGTAAAGTTAAATAATTGTCTTGCCTTTGGCTCAGTGAAAATGACCCAGCTAGGGTCCTTGTGCCATTTTGCAGAGGTAGATTGTCAGATGCTGGGCTAGAGAGCATATATACAGAGACCATAGCCAGTCCCTACCTCTTCCCTGGTCCATTTCCCATGCCTGGAGAAACCAGTCTGCTGAGTTCCCCCTAGGATTCCTCATAAACCCTACCGACTACAGAAGTGGATAGAGGGCTTTGAGGACACGTGAATCATGCTGTCTGCTCATGATTGGTAGCCCACCAAGGCTACCAAAGGGGCAGCCATAAAGGACCCAGCTCTGTTGCCACAACAGATTTATCATTATCAGCAATCTGGCAGACGATCCACAAGCCAGAAACCCCAGCTGGGGCCTGGTGGGAGGAAAAAGATGAGATGGGTTAAGCAGAGTTTTTCTTCAAGGAGTCTAAATAGGTAAACATAAAGACCATGATGGACAGGTGCTGTTTTTGTCTGCCCAGCACTCATTTTACATTTTTCTGATGAAAATATCTCCATGTTAGTTGGGGGGACTTCCCTGGTGGTCCAGTGGTGAAGACTCTGCACTTCCACTGCAGGAGGCACGGGTTTTAAAAGTGAATTTCTACCTCTGATTTTTTTGGTTATGTGAGCCAGTAAAATTTTTTTTTTCTTCTTTACTCTTTCCTCTTTTTTTTTTTTTCCCTTTCAATTAAACTAGTTTGATTTGGGTTTCTGGCACCAGAACCTAAAGAACTCTAGCTAATTTATGTCAAGATTAGAAGGTAAATGGTCATATGGAAGAAAGGACAAACAGACCATGAAGAAGGACCCAAAGGCGTGAGGAAACAGGACTCTCACAAGATGTAGAAAAGGTGGAGAGTCAGGGATGGTGAGAGGAGAAGAGGTGGACACATGAAGGAAGCTAAATTGCCATTTCTTCCTGTAAATGTCCCTCCTGCCAAGCCACTCGGAGGTTCAAATTACCTTCTAGTTCAGCTACAATGTAGGGAAAGTTGTTTTATTGTTCAAAATATTTGCTCCCCCTCCCTTGGGTGCCCTTTCTGAAGAAGGAATAGTCTTTCCATTGTTGTCAGGTTTGGCCATGAGATTTGCTTTGACCAGTAAAATATGAGGGGAAGTTTTAAGACCCAGTGTGCCCCTCTGTCTGCTTAGGCTCTAGAGTGAAGAAAACATGGAGAAGAGCTGCAGCTGGCCCACACGGACATGTGACATAAAGGAGAAAAAAACATTTGTCATAAGCCTCTGAGATTTGGGGATTGTTTGTCACTGCAGCATAACTTAATGTAAGCTGACTGATGCACATGTCTTTAAGGCCTATATTTCCTGCAGTTCCTACTGATCTTGAAGCTTGACTGTTCATCTTTCCCTGGGTTCCCAAGCACATAATTCCCTATAGCATTCCCTCTCCTCTACTTGTAACCAACAGCGAGTACGCCTTGAAGAATCATCCTGATGTATAGTAATTTTGGAGAGTTTATCCATTAAGCCAGGAAAGATAGGCCTATGTTTCATGAGCAAGTAGTTCTTATAACCAAGTCCCTTTCCAATCCCTTATCCCCAATACTTCCTGTAGCCCCAAGAGAGCGTAGAATAGATCTGATTATTATAAAACTGAGTATCTACATGAATTAAGTAATTTCATATTTGCAAATTTTATAGAATTTCTGTAAGGTAAAATCAGAAATGGATCATTTTACTGATGCTGACTTCTCAAACTTAAGAATGTTTCATTTTAGAGTACGTGTTGCACCAGCAGTGAGAATGATGATGGTGACAGATTCACGCAGTGCCTTATATTTTCAAAGCATGTCACATACTTGCTAGCTTTAAATTCACAATAGCCTGCAAATATCATCCCTATTTTACATACAGGGAGACCAGGAAAGAAAAAGTTGAAGAGACTTTACAAATTTTGGAGCTCTGGCTCTTTGTCTGCTTCTTCTCCCCTTCCTGCTACCTGAGTCATAGCAGGAAGAGAACACCTCCTCCATGACAGGAGCTTGGGAAAGGCAATCAGAGACACCCTGATTTAAAGAAATATGTGAAAGCATGAATGACTAACTGGATGGATGGGAAGATAGGTGGATGGATGGTTGATGGATAGCTGGATCAGTGAATTAATGGACAGATAAACGGATGGATGAGTGGCGGAAGAGGTTGGATGCATGGATGGATGGATCCCTTTTGTATAGGTAGGGGGCCTTCTGTGGTCTGAGGGAAATGGCTCTTCTTTTCCCCTTGAGGGAAAGGTGCTCTTCTCTCAGAATCTGGAAAATGTGCACAATACCTCTAATACTCTTCCACCTAGAATGCCCTATACTTGGCCAATATTTTAATCCTACCTGCCCAAGTATTTCATTCCCCCTCATTCCTAGGAAAATAGAATGTGGTTTACCCTCAAGGTTGTCTACTGTTCCCCTACAACTTATAAACCGTGTTCACTATACCTCTCCATGTCTCAGTTTCTCCATTTGCGAAATGGAAATAGCACCTCCTTTTCAGGGTTGTTGTGGGAATATATCATATGTATAGATCATTTACTAAAGTGCTGAACATATCATAAGTTCTCCATAAATAACAACTATTAAAATTATTATTCCCTAAAGTTCAGGATGGCTGCCTGTGGAAATCGAGGTAAGTCTCCACTAAGCGTACCCAGTTGTGATTACGGTCTTTAGCCCTTTTTCATTAGTGGTGGAATCTGTAATAATACAATAACCTTTATTTTATTACACAGCCCTTGGAAATTGAGGGTTTCATCCATGTCAATTAATTCCTTCGCAGCCCACGTTGGCAGTGACAGTCAGAATGTCAAAATGTCTCAGAGGATTCCTAAGAAATCTGAGGCGCTTCACAGAGAGCCTGCCCGTGTGAGAGCCCAGCCCGAGTGAATCGCTAATGCACGTCACAGGAAGGGGACTCTTCCGAAATGCTAATACAATCAACCTGAAAGGCAAACTTTCAGCTTCCTGCTCTGTGATCACTGAGGCACTCCTGGAACTGGGCGAAGTCTACTGATGAGGCCAGGAGCCCTGCTTCCTCATGCAGCCTGCCCAAGAGAACCAGCCTGTCCTCAGCACGGTGCAGCTGCCTAGTGAAGGCCAGCAGGCATTTCCTGTCACAGGCAGCCAGTCCAGAGCCACCCAGACCTAGGTCTGCACCAAGGAAAGAAACAGCCCATTTCTGGAGGAGGCTTAGCCAAGAAGCCCCCATAGAGCAAGCAAGATGAATGAGGAACTGCCAAACTCCCAGTGTTTGCTCCTGGGACTCTGTAGCATCCTCTGGAGCCGGACCGCTTCAATTCAAACTCTGGCACCCCCTACTCCCTAGCTATGTGGCCTTTGGTACATTACTTAACCTTTCATGCCTTACTTTTCTCATTGGTAAAGTGCAGATAATAACAGTACCCACCTCCTGGGGTTGTGCGAGGATTTAGTGATTTAATAAATGTAAAGCACTTAGAGCAATGGCGGGTGCCTGGAAAGCACTATATACATGTCCGCTATTGTTATTCATTCTTTCTTAAATTCCTTCATTCATGCATGCATTAATTCTTCACCCAGCCATTTATTCCTGCACTCATGCGTTCATCTATCCAACATGCCTATCTGCACCTCTGATGAGGTCATGTTAAAAATGAGTAAATAATGAGGTTCAGTTTGAGAGACAAAGAGCCGCCCTGGGAAGCTGGGGAAGGTATCCTAAACTCTCACCTCCTGCAGCAACATTCCACACAATCAACTGTGCACCTTTGCTCAGGTGGTTTTCTCTCTCTGGATGCTTTCCTCTTCTTCCTGCAGAAAACTCTTACTCATCCTTCAAGGCCCCATTCAATGCTCTAACTTTTCCAGCTCCCAGGCATAACTATTCTCCATCTCCTCAGCGAATACTTGTTTTAATGTGTGAATGATTAACTGAATCAATAAAGACTCCCAATGCTTTGTTCACATTAGTGTTACAACCAGTATCACCTTGTGTTATTGGTTGGTAGTATTCTTCCTGTGTCTGGAACACTCTTTCCCCTTCTAGTAGGCCATTCCTATTCATCACTCAGGTCTTGGTTCAGAAGTCACTTCTTCCAGGAAGCCTTCTTTGACTTACCACATGGAGTCTTGGGACCTCTGCTGTAAATTCTTGTAGCCCCTGCTCCTCCCCATCACCATATTGGCCACACCATGAGGTCATTCCTAGTTCATCTGACGCCTACAGGACGGCATCTTCTTCGAGATTAGGGACTAGGTTAGGCATTCCCAGCACCCAGGAAGGTGGTCAAGTACCTGTATCCACAGAATGGACAACAACTCAAAGGCTGGCATACTGCACAACTGTGGCTGGCAGCCCTGCCCTGGCATGGTAAATTCACGGAGCCCAGCACTCCGCTCCCCGAGCTGGTGTCTCTCCTCGGCCCCTCCCAGGTGGGGCAAAACTGTTGCAGACTTCCTCTTTCTCCTCTGTCAGGAGCTTTTCTGTGTTTGGGAAGCTCTCAGTGCACCTGGAGAGAAGGGGATGGTGGAAGGGGATGGAATAGAGAGAGACAGGGTCTCTGAGCCTGAAAGAAAGGAAGTTGCCCCTCTCACCTTGCTAACGGGAACACCGTGTGCTTTCTCGGGGTAATGTGGGCCCTGCCCCCCCACTCCCTCCAGCACTGACAAAGGGTGCCTGGAGCCCCACCTTCTCAAAACATCCAGGCACGGCAGAGCTGTCCACGGAAGTACAGGACGGGGGAGTGGTTAAGAGCAGACCACATTGCAAATCCTACTGGCTGTGTGGCTTTTGGCAGGTTCCTCAGCCTTTCTGAGCTTTACTCTCTTACCTGTTTAAGGAGAAGGGTAAGGATTAAATGAACCAGCACATGTAATATGCCCAGAACTGAGTAAATGCTCCAAGAATGTTTGCCAATATTATTATTGTTGTTGTTAATCATCTTGTCATAGTCAGATGGGAGCTCAGCACAGATGTGTAACGTGGTGTTGATCCATCCCCAACTCCATCCAGCCCCTAATTGAGGCCCGGAGGAAAACAGGGATTTGTCAGAACCACAGTCTGGCAGCAGAGCCAGAAACTCCCCATCAGTGTTCTCCCCATCATGTTGTCTGTCAGTGAGATGTCACTTACTTCATTCCTTCCTCGGCATCTGGAGGCTACATGTATAATGAAGGCTGAGACAGGACTCTGGATTGAAATTCTGTGTTTAGCACCTGCCAGCCCTGTGAATGGGGGTGAGTCTCTTAGCCTGTCTGACCTTCAGTTTCCTCATCTATAAGATGGGAATAATCATGATACTTCCTGTCTTAATGCAAAGCATCAGTAGATTGTCAGAAGTTAATCAAGGAATTCAAGGAGACCACTTAGTCCACTGTCTGGTTCAGAGTAATAGAGTAATAACCGTTCATTATTATTATTATCTGATTTTATTAGTAAGTCTTAGGGTAGATGGCTGTTGGGGGAGGAAGGATTTAAATTGTGTCCTTGAAGGAGGCTTTTATTCTTCCTGGAAGTCCAGTCTCTGGTGCTTCTGACATGGGCAGCCCATCCCCATCTCAGGCCTAGGAACCACCTCCCACCCCCCATTGTGTGATTCCTCCCCACTCCCTTCCATACTGTACCCCTAGCTCCACCCAGGCAAGCTGTAACCTGTTTCTCTTTTCCTGGTGACCTCACCAGAGGACGTTCATCTCAGAGGCCTCTTTCTGTGAAATGCACTCTGTATCTGATGACAGAGGGACCCAGGCTCCCCTGGGCTGGGCTGGCTGCTGGGGCTGCTGTGTCTCCTGCAGGCAGACAGAAACCTCTACTAACCGTGAAGGATAACAACATGCTGCTGGCTGGCTTCTGTCTGCTCTGCCCCACCTGTCTGCAGTCAGAGCCAGTGGTTGGTCCTCGGGGACGTGCAACTGGCCTGGGGTTTGTTCCTAAGTTGTCATACTGCCTTCCCTCTGGTGTCACCAAAGAGCTATTTGTCCCCTCCCCTGTCCCAGAGCAACCTAGATGTCTGGGGTCCCTCCACATTGTCATACTGGGGCCATGGGATTATAGGGAGGGGAGGACCCTGGCCCCATCCCACCCTCATGTCTTCCACCAGCTTCTTTTCTGGGAGCATATCTGCGCGCGCCACCCCTCCACCCCCATCTCCAGGTGCCCAGAGGCCCGAGGAGTTGTCGAAACCACTGATCTCGATGTGTATAACTGTAGGAGACGCCAGTCGTCTCCTCCAGATGCAGACTAAAAATACAGACGAGCAAGGGCCCTCGGTAATGGAGACTTTAAGAGCCTGTGACATGTGGCGATGGCTGCACGGTCGCTAACGAGCTCTGAGCCGGTCGATGGCTGAGCCCCGAGTGAGCATGTGGGCTGGGAGCAGGGACGGGGGTGTCACTCAGCATTTGTCCATCCTGGCTCAGAAATTTGAAATGCTGGTGTGTGCCAGGTACATGGAGAGCAGCTTGAGCACCCCTTGACTACCAGATGCGGAGACTGAGGCCAAATGACAGGAGGTAGGGGGACATATCTGAGAGACACAGAGACCTCAGCCGCACACCCCAGAATCCAGCACACAATCTGCACTGGGAGATCCTGACAAATAGGTGACAACTGACCAACTGAGCAAACAATTGAGTGAGGGGACAAATAAGTCTCTTCCTCACTGCAATGTGAGTGAGATCTGCTTCTTCATCTACCCTCTTCCTGAGTACAGAGACAAGGAAGCCTGTGAAAATTGTGCCTGGGGTCTTTTTCCCATGGGTGTGTGTGTTCAGTCGCTCAGGTGTCCCACTCTTTGTGGCCCCTTGGACTGTAGCCTTCCAGGCTCCTCTGTCCATGGAATTCTCCAGGCAAGACTACTAGAGTGGGCTGGCATTTCCTACTCCAGAGGATCTTCCCGACCTAGGGGCTGTCTCTTGAGTCTCCTGAATTGGTAGGTGGATTCTTTACCACTAGCGCTACCTGGGAAGCCTACCTCTCAAAGAGCCAAGGTGTAGTCCCACCTACCAGAGAGAAAAACCATTATAACACAGCAGATGTTTCTTAAACATCCTCCTAAGAACTTGGCACAAATTATCTCATTTAATCTTTTTTTAAAAAACTTCAATACTTTATTTATTTGGTCGTACCAGGTCTTAGTTCGATCTTCACTGCAGCATTCAGGATATTTTTTACTTTCTGCATGAAGGATCTAGTCTCCTGACCAGGGACTGAACCTGAGGCCCCTGCATTGGGAGCATGGATTCTTAGCTACTGCACCACAAAGGAAGTCCCCTCATTTAATCTTCACATCAACCTTATGAGTTAAATTCCATGTTTGCATCCATTTTTATGCAGGAGGAGGCTGAAGGGCTCAGAGAGGCTGTGTAACTTGCCCTGGGTCACGCCTCAGGGAAGAGGTGGGGCCAGCACTCAAACCGGACCAGCCTGCCGCCCTCCCTGCAGAACCCCTGTACTACCCTGCCTCCCCTAAAGTACATCAGGAGAGGAGAGAACTGCGGGCCACAAGAGCCACGCAGAATGGAGGCAAAAAAAAAAAAAAAATACCTCCAGGGCCCATAAAGTGTTTGATAAATTCCAGGAGAAGAATAGGGAGAAATAATGAGCATTTGTCAGAGCCTTTTATAGCATATAAGACGCTTTCCCCTGCCTTCTCTCATTTGATCTTCACCACAGGCCTGGGAAGAAGGTATTATCATTATCTACATTTCATTGGGGAGGAAAGGAAGGCTCCCACCCCTCCGGCTGGGGCTGGGCAGGCCACATACCTTTGGGGGGTGGGGCGGTGATGGGGACCTTTTCCCATTCCCTGAAGGTTGTCATAACCTCTCCCCAAATGGTCATGGGCTCAAAGGGTAAATCCTGGCTGAGGCCCAGGACATTTCTGAGCTCCCTATCATCACAGGAGAAAGGTCAGAAGAGGGCAGATCCAGACCAAATGCCACCTCCTCCAAGGAGCCTGCCTGGACCTGCCCAGACCTGAAAGCCCTCAGGAATCTCACTCTTCTCTGTTCATCTGCTCCATTTTTTCTGGCAGCCCCTCCCAAAGCAGGGCCAAACTTGTTATCTCTGCCTCATC